AGACGACAAAAGCACTCAAGTGTCTCTACGCTAGTTCATTGAAAAGAACAATAATGCAAGCCAACACACAAACATTAATTGCTCCTCACTTTTGAAGGCAGTAACGGTCGTTTTCCTCATGCTATAAATAAAAGATCATTTATTGCAAGCCAACTACCCAACTAACGTGAAAATAATTCTGTTGCTCACAAACACTTTGTTATTTTCTCAAGTGCAAAACTTATCTTAGTGATAAATCACAGTTTGTGATATACTCCCTCCATTCTCTTTTATAAGAAAATTTTGACTTTTTAGATTCATTAAATAAATGATGTATTTAGACTATATATTTGTTAGATACATCAACTATTCAATGAACCTAAAAAATTAAAATTTTCTTATAAATAGGAATGAAGGGAGTAGCTTTCTAAGAAGCAATTTGTTTCACTATTGTAAAATTTAATTCTTGTAGTTGTTCCTTGAGAGACCAAGCTTGGTCAGATTTCTCAAGAAGGCTAGAACTAGTTTGAGTCTTAGTAGTGTTAGTCACTTGTAAGTTTACTTGTGCTTTGTATTGTTAGTCTCAACAGTTTGGTTGTGTGATCGTAATCTGTTTGATTATAGTAAATTAAGTCCTTATTGAGAAAGGCGAAATCACCTTGGCGGGTGGACTGGGGTAGTTTGAATTCAAACGAACAAGGATAAAAATAACCGTGTACAATATTAAACAATCGGTTCTGCCACCGTATCAGTGTCTAACTTAGATCTCCAACCTTGCAAATCCCAGTAAAAGATTCAAAATCAACCATAGTCAAATAACGAAAATACACCCATATAGAATCAGTCAACAAAAAAAATCGCCTGCTTTAAGCTCTGAATTCTACCTAGAAACTCTGATCTCGATTCCTTAAGTTCCTGAGAAACAATAATTAAATATTAATAACTATAGTATAATAATAAGTAGGACGTTAAAAGTCCCATCATCATATTTTACCGCGATTTTTAAGTAAATGGAAGTGATGTTCTCTTTCTGAAAATAAAAAAAAAATAAAAAAACATATGGTTAATTTAGAAAATGAAGAAGAAAACAGAGTGAAATCAGAAAGATGAAGAGGACGAAGAAGAGAACAGTAGAGAGAGGAGCGATGGAATCTGGCGAAGACATTGGAGATTTGGGATTTTAGCAAACCTACTGTGGATGAAGAGAGTGTTGTTGTTGAGGCAGAGAGGGAGATGAAATATTAGGGTTCGTAGGATTTGAACTGTTGATGAAAAGAAATGTTTGTTGTTGTGCCTTTTTATTAACCATCATTCTGAAAGCAAAATTAATTGATGGAATTGGAAAAGCTTTACCATGGTTTCGTGGAAAAGAATTTACATTAGTAATGATTCAATAAATTAAATGATGGAATTGGAAAAGATTTATCATTGTTTTAATGCAAAGTCACGCTTGAACATAATAATAGATAAAAAATAAATGAAATCAATAATAAAAAAAAAATAGAATTACATTAATTAAAACTTTTCTCTTATAGCAAGATATAAAAAAGGTAGAATGACTGAGAGTTTGCGAAGTGTCAAAATTGTCAAAAAAACTCATCTTGCTTTATTCTATTATATGATTAATTAAAAATTAAATTAAATAGTTTGCAAATCCTTATTAACTGGTGGTTTAAATAGTCTTTTGGTCACTGTAAGTTGGCGTGTTTTTATTTTTCGTCCCTATATCTGTTTTTTGTGTGGATAAAGTCCTTAAATGTTGAATTTCATTTGATTTTAGTCCCTAAAATTAAAATTCGCAGGAAATCTACAGGTTTCCTACAGATTTTCCTTCAAATTTTCCTACGGATTTTAACTTTAGAGAGTAAAACCAAAAGGATTTTGACATTCAAGGAACATTTCCACAAAAAAGAAAAAGATACATGGACGAAAATAAAAAACACACCAACTTACAAGGACCAAAAGACTACTTATGCCTTAATTTAAAATTCTGATAATGCTAGATTGGATGTCTTCACTAGGGTTCAAACCTTAATACTCACAGTTGTGTGTGTGAATTTCTAATAGTTGTTACCACATTGTCTATAGACAAAAAATATATTTATTAGGTACTAAAAAAGTAATATATGTTCTTGTTTAGATATTAATGTTAAATAAACTTGACAAAATGTGTTTCATACTTGAACTTGAACTGTGATTGATTGGTGATGATGGACTTCTGATGCTGTGGTATGGATCTTAGAAACAGCGGTACATAGGTGGACCTGCAACGTTAACACTCTAACACCCAAGTCAATTACTGAGTCCAAAATGAGTGAAGTGAAAATATGAGTTCAGAAAGTGTACGTTGTGTCTCACTTGTGTCAATTATATATGAAGGATAACTTTAATAGATTTTGCATTAGTGGGTTTAACACTTGAGTCTCATTTGCATTGGACCTTTGACCGACCCAAAACAATGAAAGTAAGATATATTATACAAAGATTATATATATATATATATATATATATATATATATATATATATATATATATATATATATATATATATATATATATATATATATATATATATATATATATATATATATATATATATATATATATATATATATATATATATATATATATATATAAGAGCCTTTGTTTGTCTAAGTCTAAGTCTGCTTGTAGCAGCACTTCTGAGACAAGTAAAGAAAATGACTCTAGCATTGCACATCAAAATCAACATCATCTTCAACTTGGTCAAAGCATGTCTCAAACAGCTTCTTTTACCGAGTTACTCACTGCCGGAATTGGTCATAATAATCAGATTCATCATGCTGGTTTCTCAGGACATTCCCCATTTGCTAGTGAAAATGAAAACCAGTCAGATATGATTCACCTGCAGCATTTTCCATTCATGTCTGACCCACATCTTATGCAACCATCTGTGGTTAATTCTTCTTCATCCTCGTCTTCTCATCATGATAATTACAATCTCAACTTCACCATATCCTCTTCGGGCCTTGTTGGTTACAATAGGGGGACCCTTCAGTCCAATTCACTTTTGCCTCACTTCCACAGGTTTTCAACTATGGATCATGGATCATCAACAACAACATCATCATCCAATAATTTACCTACTTTCTTCACAGGACCTCCTGTTCCTCATCCTCCTCTTGCTGCTACTCCATCCATGGATCAACAACTTCATTTCTCACCTCTCTTTGACGCTCGCTTGCAACTTTTCTATCGCGATGGAAGCCACCATTCAGATCAGAAGGACAACAAATGCAATAAGAACTAAGTTCTTCATGGAAGACCCCGTTTTCCTTTCTTCCAAGTAAGCCCCCACAACTCAAAATTTAATCTTTCTATGTTTTCCCTCACATTTGAGATTTTTAGATGTTACCCTTTTCATTTTTTTTATCTTGTTTTTATTTTTATTTTTTATCCCTAGACCAAACAGTAATAACCACTAGAAACTCACACTAACGGCCGAGTATTAAGATTCAAATCCTGATATAACGTCCAACCTAATAATATCAACGAGTTTTTATTCATCACTTACAGAGGGAGTAATTAGTACTAAACCTAAAGACATATACCAGATGAATATTTAATTATTTGAAAGATTATGTGTTGTTGGATTCATGTGGTGTGTGCAAAACAATGAGGCAGTGAGTGGCTATATCTTGGTAATGGTAAACAAATTGGCCACTACTGGACATTGTTTAAGGAGGTGCTGCTATGCTATCTGGTTAAAATATTTGTCATTTTGTTGAGTCCTGCACTCACTGCATGAATTGGCGTGAATAGGGTTTACAATCCATTGGCTGTCTCCTTTTCAGTTCTTTCATTGTCCTTGGTTCCCCTTCTCTCTAGCACCTTTGAGTTCATGCCATGTGTAACATTTCTCATGGCAAACACAGTGTGTAAATGCAAATAATCAAATTCAACTTTAGGACTTATGCATGTCAGTAACTATGTGGAAAAATATATACTATGATTAGTGACTTTTTCATATGGTGAAAGGTTCATGCATGTGTATAACCAAAACTTGACCCTTCAAGCATAGGAAGAAACAGATTCACAAAGTATTGAAAGTAATGATATTTATTCATCTTCATGTTTTACTGCAGCATATATATTAGAAGATATTTTGAAAACTATATAATAGCAAAGTGACATAATGATCAACAAAATTTGATGTATGTGTAAAACGTTTTTCTTTGTATATAATACCAAAAAGTTGTCCAGAATACCAATGTCTGGTGGAATGGGAAGACAATGACCATTTGAATAGCTACCACTCATAGATACAACTGTAACAATTTTTGCTCTAGCATCATGTATATAAATTTTTGCATCTTGAAACCGAATAGTATGGAACGCATGAATGATATCTGCAACAATGACAAATATGAAGCATGTTGCCTAACCACTTCCAAATGAGCACTCGATAAAAAGATGAACCAACATTTCAAACACAACCATAAACAATCTCTTTAAAAAATATGTAGAGTGTTCTAGTCAAGTGTGTAACTCTAAATCCATAATGTATATTGGCTATATGACACTTGCATTACTCAAAACTCTTTCTACTCTTCTCTCAAGCACTCCTCAAGCCTCTGCTTCGGGAACTTTAATTTGGAGCTCTTATATTCCTCCATCAAACTCTTCACTATTTTGGAGATTGATTTATAATCCTCTCTCAAGCAGTTTTTAAGGGGAAAAAAAATATAAAGAAACACATAATAAAGTTATCATAAAACGAATAGTACTTTTTAAAAGAAAATTTAATTTAAATCTAAATCATATATTTAACTGTCATGGAAGTATATATAAAGAAGAGCATAGAAATTAAATCCATTGATGGCATAGTAACGTTTGGTTGAATAAGAACATAAAGTTTACTCTATTAAAAATTAGAAAATCTAACAAAAGAAACAATAAAACAACCGTACTAGTCCTGAAAGAAGCATTACATATAACTCAAAACCGAAAGAAAAAAAATTAAACAATACTCTTAGCCATCCTCACTCTTTAGCATCTTCATTCTTCTTCGTTTTCGAAACCACAGTTGAATTCTTCAGCTCTTTACTTTCTTCAATTTCTTGTGACTCATTGCTATTGAGTAAAAGGTATAACTTTTCATTAACCCTAAATGACCAAATGTCAAGTTTTTGATTTTCTTTAAATTTATTCTCCAACAAAACATGTGTCCAATCTTGATGAAGAATATAAATGCTAGTAGTCTTCATGTTCCACTTCTTCAAAAACAACGAGAATTCGTTAAAACAAGGATCTAACACAGTCACTTTTATACCAATCGGTTTTTCTTCTTGATCCCTTGTTTCCAAGGTTGCCTTTTCTATTTCTGTGAGGAAATCAGATTTGATTTGTGTAATTGGCATTGAAAGACGATTGAGATTATTGTTGAGATCTGACTTAAACAATTCCTTACACATGATATATTTAATATCACTACCATTCAACACTTTGATCATGTCATTAACATGACTAGGCAATTCTGGTGGCGGTGACAACAAAATTTCTTTTTTGTGAATTATTGGTTTCCTCCTAATTGCTGATTTTGGTTTCACTCTTCTACCTTCATCAAAGATGATATCTTTATTACTTGGACAACAACTTTTTTCATCATTGACTTCTACTTTTTTCACATTACTTTGTGAAATAAGAGAGAGATTTGTTTCTTCACTCAAAATGTGATTGATTTTTTCAATTTGGGTTAACTCATCTTTAGTATAAAATTGTGGAGAAATTTGAGATAACACTCTATGCAAAGTAAAATGAGGTAATGGATCAAATTTCTTTTCCATTGTTTTCAACTGTTGCATATATGCATTGATCTTCTTCTCAATAGCCATAGCTTTCTTTTGCAACATCACTTCTGGATTTTGTAAAACTGCAGTGTTCTTTATGGACATTGATTTCTTTTCTTTCTCGATAATGTGTTGATTAAATGTTTGTGATTTTAAGTGTTTATCAAATGTCTATTTATAATTTATGAAGATTTAAAATTAAAAACTAAATCATATAATATCTTTTCATATATTTCAATTTTCTTATCATATGAAGATTTGATGCAAAAATCTAGATAATTCTGTTACAGTGAATTTATTTGGTTGGTGACCATTCAAAGTGAATACACAAATTCCATGGAGCTATGTTTTTAATTTTAAGATAATGATATATAGCAAACGTAAAATAAGGCTAATTTGTTTACTTAAATCTTTTGGTTAGATTTGTGTCAAAAAAAAATCTTTTGGTTAGAAAATTTCTGTATATATTTCATTTCACCATTTATAATAGGCTAAATTTTGTTATAAAATAAAAAAATATTTGATTTAAAATCTTGATCAATCATTGTATATATAAAAAGATTGGATACTACTCATTCAATTCAACATCTTATGAAGTTAGGAAAGAAAATCAATCTAAACTTTAAATTTAAATTTAAAATTTAAAACTTTTCAACCAATACTTAGGACATAATTTCGTTACTATTATTTTTTTGGACACTTGGTTCATTTTGAAATGCAAGAAAAATTTTCTGCTAAATTTTCTCCTTAAATCTAGTAGAAAGCAAATGGAATAGCAACATGTTATTTGGCAATTGGTAAATTTATGTAGCTAAAGAAGGTGGTTAGTTATGGTAATTTTCTACTTATAATTATTTTTCATCTTAAAATTATTTTTTTATTTTTTATTTAATATAAATTTTAATCACTATAATTTTTTATTTTATTTATTTATATTTTTATGGTTATTTATGTTAGTTTTTTTTTAATAATTTTTTTATGTATTCTATTTTATATTTTATAAAATTTTAAAGTATTCATTTTTTTTTTAATTATTTTATAATATTAATATTTAATAATAAGTTATTTTATGCATTCAAAAGTTGTTATTATAACACATAATTTATTTTGTGTTGAGAGTTATAATATGAATCAAGTATACTCAATTTTTTTGACATTACATGATAAGTTATGACTTTTTAATTATTTAATGTTATAAATTTTATTTTCAAAAAAATATTTATGAAATTTTCACTTTTGAACATCATATTACTTATTTAAAATTATAAGAATAAAAATGTAAATTAAAAATAAATTTTTTCCCCTCCTCTTATGAACCAAACATATTTTTAATCAAAATTTCTCATTTCTCATCCCCTCCTCTCTTTTGGACCATATATATATATATATATATATATATATATATATATATATATATATATATATATATATATGATTGAAAAAATCTCTCCCCTCCCATCTTCTTCCCTCCATTAAAATCTTTCTCCTCCCCTCCCTCTCAATTGAATCAAATAGACCCTTAAGAAGTTTGGTTTGCAATCTAAAAAGAAAATAGTGACACAGCTTGTTGTCTGCGTGCCTTCTATTTCTGTATTAACTTAATTTTTCTTGAAAATAATAATAATTACTTATAAAAATAAAAATAAGCACGGTAATGATGATGATGATGATGGGTTGAAGATGAAGAAAAGTTGGAAAGTGATTTTGATGGTAAGATTCTGAAGTTGAAGTTGTTGTTGCGGTTTAGGTGAAAAAATGATTTTTTTTTTTTGAATAACCATGTATTAAAAATTTTGTCCGCAAATAACCATGTTTCAGAAAAAATTACGCAAATAGCCATATTTCAGATGACTCCCCAAAGGAAGAGCCATCTCACTTGGCGCCTACACCTACTTTTTAAGGGGATGCGCCATCTCACTTGGCGCCTAGGTGCTTAGGGCTTGCCCTAAGCCAAGTGAGATGGCGCCTTAGTGCATTTGCTAGGGCAATTTTCACATTTTTTTCAATGCAGTGCGTTACGTATTCGATATAGGATCAACAAAATTGACTTTTTATTTACAAAATATAATTACACACATAACTATTACATAAAAAAAACAGATTAATCAGTGGTCCCCCGAAACCCGGTAATGACCCCCGGTTCTGCATCCCCGTCCTCGCCTTTCCTGTGCTGGGTGTCGTCGCGTTTCCTGTTGTGGGAGGGTCGATGGCCCAGCTAGGTCAATGCGTTCCGGATCCATGAAATTAGTCAGATCTCCATATATAGAAGATCCGCTTTGGTACAGTCGGTTACCCATACCCTCAAAGTTTGATCGTGTTGGCGGTGGGTGGGGTTCCATGGTTGGTCTGTAGCATTGATCGTCTAATTACGGGGGGTAGAAAGGAAATGGATCTTGGGGTGTTTGGTATTGAGGATGTTTGGTGGTTTGGTGATATTGTGGTTGATGGTAAGTTGGGTCGGTTGGTTCATAATCTTCCAATATTCCCAGATCAGGGCTAAGGCTGGATGTTGAGGGGCCCATATTGAGATATATAGAAGACTGAAATTGTGTGTGGGGTATGCGGGTGTGTTGGTATTGTGATTGGAATTGCGGTTAGATGTGAGGCATATGGGGGTATTGGTACTGAGGTGGTGATTGTGGTTGGTTGTGGGGCATGTGGGTGTAATTGTATTGTGGTGGCGACTGTGGTTAGGTGTTTGTGGTTCTGTTTCGTCTGGAGGGTTGGTGGGAGGTTGATGTGTTTTGGGTTTGTTGTTGGGGAAATGAGGGTTGTGCCTATTGTGTTCGTGGGTCAACCAAATACCTTGGATAAGACACGTGCATTTCAGGGGTACTAACCGATTTGTACCAAGATAAATACTGATCTGTGTGTCGCATATTACCTTGGTTGAGGAAAATTGGGAATTGCAAGACAAGTCGGTGATGCCTCTGCCACATCTTACACCATTCTGGAGCAAAGTCTTTCCAGTTGATAAGACCCCATTGGGCGTCGACCCTTTTGAGATGCCACAGGGACAAACAAGTCAGATCGCTGGGTATCTCTTGATGCATTCTGAACTGCATCTTCACACGGTCGTTGTGGTGCATCTCCACAACATTGAACCGTATGATTGCAGTCTTTGCACTCCAAGTTGTTGCATCCTCGGGGTTTGGTTCATGGCCCAAACCCAAATATGGTCTCCAAATAAACTGCAGATAAAATTAAATATGGTTAATGAAAACGTAATATATAAATAATTTAAAAGTAGAAAAGTTGAAAGGTACGACGTACATCATCCAGGCCTAGGTGATCCAATAAATTACGGTATAGTGCTACATTGAATCTTGGATTCTTACCGTAATCCATACACCTCACGCAATACCTAAAGGAAATGAAAAATAATTTATTTTTATCATATATTTGGTGAAGAGATGAATAGTAATAAATTATATAACTTGATGACTTACTTTGTTGCGTACGGGAAAACGAATGTGTTGTTGTTGACGGGGTTTAGGGACTCCATCCTCCACCAACCCCAGGCTTGAAGTAAAAAAGCACAGCCATAAAATGTACATTTTTCCTTGATTGCATTTTTGCACAAGGAACTGTATAGGTGGGCTAAAACAGCAGAACCCTAACTATACTTTCTAGTTTTTTCGAAGTCTCTAAGTAAATTTAAATACATAAAATTTGCATATTTCCCGTACTTTCGGGAAATAAAAAGGTTCCAAATAGTATCATTATATAAGTTCTAGCTTTTATTACCTTGGGTAGCTCGGAGGAATTTTCGTTTAATTCCAGAGTCGCATAATGATTTTTTAGCTCAGTTAGTAGTATACCCTGACCTCTCGCACCACCACCTTCAACCATATCCCTGCCCAACAATTCTTCACACAGAGAATTGGGTTGTTGAACCGGCCTGTTAACGGCCTTACCATCGACAGGGAGACCCAATAACATGTACACGTCCTCTAGCGTGACGACACATTCACCTATTGGTAGGTGAAATGTATGGGTCTCTGGTCTCCACCTTTCCAACATTGCAAGTATGAACTTTGAATCAATTGTGCAGTTGGAGATCCTTATAATGTTTCTGAAACCAGCGTATTCCAGATATGGTACGATCAATGGGTCGGGAGCAAGGTAGTTGTGTGACCGGATTCTGAATATTTTGGTATCCTAAGTTAATAATGTAAAAGGTGTAAGAGTAAGTAAGATGAACAAAGCATTGCTAGAAGTATGAAAAATGTATAACTATAAAAGAAACTTACAAATGCTGCAATGTTGACCCTTGTGACTTTGTGAGAACCGTCCATTGTGAGAAGAGCCATTGTTGAAAATGCATGAGATTAGGAAAGAGTTTGAAATTGTAAGAGATTATGAAAGACTTTATAGCAGAGAGTGAGACGATTGTGGATGCGAGAGAAGAATGTAATGATCTGTATTTATAGGGAAAAAAATTTCATTGAGTAACTGAGGTGGTAGGTGGGTGCATGCATGCATGATAAGTGTCACTGTTGCAGTGTAGGTGCAGGCTACGTGGCAGCCTTGGAGAAGGCATCTCTAGCATGCATGTAACACGATTGGACATGAAGGGAGGCGCCATTGGACTTGGCGAAAGAGTACAAAAATGAAAAGTGTCGCCATCCCCATTGGCGAATAAGAGGTGGCTGTAATTGCAAGCTTCTCAAGTCATATTTAAAGCATGTGTTTTGATGAAGACAACATGGACATCAACATTCAAAGGATGTGCAAAAAGCTTATCAACATCATATAAAAGTCTTGAAGATTATTGAAGATTATTGAAGAATTATTGAAGAATCATCAAATATCAAATGGTATAAATAATTCTTAATCTTGAATATAGATGTTCACAAAAAAATATGCATTCATAATCATATACATATCCAACATGGTTTCACTTAAGAAAAATTTTGTTTAAAATCTTTTTCAAAAAGAATTTTTGAAAATTAACTTTCAGGAACTGGTTCCTCCCTAACAGGGAACCGGGTTCCAAAACTTGTTCAAAAACATGTCCCTGGAATTTGTACCAGGAACCGGGTTGTACCAATAGGGGAACC